ATATCAAATACATGCTGTCAAGTGGAATGCAAAACGTCCAGGCATTTTTCTCAGAGGAGGAGCTGTTTTGGGTGGAGCCTCAAAACAGATGTGTGTACACTGGTGGGGGCATTCTTCACAGAAACAATTTCACCAGCCTCAGAGGTAAGAAACTCACAGTCTGTTCCAGCAAGCCCTGACACAGTGGGGCCCACTGCCTTTCTGGTTGTGCTTCCCTGACACCTGGGAGTGCTCTATACTACAGTCAGAACTATCTTGAGGCTTTTCCCTTACAGCAGAGTGACCTGCTGCCCCTCTGAATAGAACTGTCTTCCTATTCACCCTCTGCTACTTTTTAACCTGAAAAACTCCTAGTTATCATTTAAGTCTAATTTCATGTCCTCTCCTCCAAGAAGCCCTCCTGGATTCCACCCCTCCTTGCAGTGCTCCCCTCCCAGCATCTTGCTCTCCCTTTTTCACAGCTTCTTACCATAGTCTGCTGTGACCTCCACTTTGAGGCACCTCTCCAGGAGGTTAGGAGCAAATTGAGGTCAGGGAGTTCACCATGAATTCGGCCTTCCTTGTTCATTCAGCACACACTAGGAGCCCCTCTCTGTGCCAGGCTGTGAGCTCTATGTAGGGACAACTCAGCATGTCCTCAGAGGAGCTCTGAGCCCAAGTAGAGACAAACTGTCCACGCACATACTGATTGGTATATTAAAACCAGCAAAAAGCAAAACCTCTTGCTGAACCCAACATGGCCAGGCCTTCTGCTTAGGGGTGAGGATCCAGAAAAGAGCCAGACCTGTGCCTACCTGCAAGGGATTCCCAGTCTGACCAGTGGCCAGTGGAAACCACGAAGCTTACGGTGAGTGTTAAGCTTATGGCTGTGGGGCACCAAGTCAAGTGACTTTTGCTTTATTGTGGATGACAATGAATGAATGAATGAATGAATTTTTTCTCTCTCTCTCTTTTAGGGAACTTGTGAGGTTGTAACCATGAATGGGCTCTGTAAATCAAGGCACCCAATAAATGACTGATCAGTCAGTTGATTGAGATGTCACCCATGAGGTGATATAGCAGCAAAAGGGCTATATTCTGGTCTCCACAATCCTGGACTTTCTCAGTGGGGAGTAAATCTACTCTGACCATGGCCAGCTAGAGCGGACCTGCAGCTCTTGGCTGCAAGGCCTCCCGCAAACTCCCAGTAAAAGGCGGCAGTTCTCAGGCCTGCCTCCCAAGAGGGTCGTGAGCATTAATTAGTTACCGTTGGTAAAGTGCTCTGAAGACGTGGGGGTGTATAAACACGGCAACTCATTAGGCCTCTCCACACCATGAGGCTCTACAATCAGGAAGAGCTAATTGAGAAATAATTAACACCTCAGGGTGCAGGGGACAATGCCTGGCTTTTCTAGGATTGGAAGGGATGTAATAAAGTGCATGGAGAGCAGGAAGAATTATAAGGCTACTTCAGATCCCAAAATACACTAAAGATTATTCGCCTTCTGCCCCCAGGGAAGAGTGCAGGGACTGTTGCCCCAGTAAAGCCTTTGGGACTTCATTCCTTGGGAAAGCCCAGAGCACAGTGCTGGGCTACAGAGGCTGAGTGATGCTCTTCACGCAAAAAAGCCCAGGTCCAGCCCAGGTCTGTCCGGCTTCTAGCATGTGAGCAGATGCCAGGTGTGGAACTCATCAAGTGGTATTTTCCTCAGTTGTAAGACCCAGATGATGACGTGTCTATCATCCTCCTGCCCCAGCACCAGTGTGTCTGATGTCCTTCCTCTACGTCAGCAGATCTAGCCCCGGCTTTGTGTTAGGATCATGGGGGACTGTAAGTAGTGACCAGCATCTTGGGGCTGGGACTGGGAGGCACACAGTGATTCCCAGTTCAGTCAAAGTTAAGAATCATTGCTTTGGTTTGTATATCAGGCACTGTGTTGGGAGCTGTAGAAAACTGAACATGTAAACCCTACCACACTCAATGCTCCCCTCACAACAGTTCATCATTCTTGACTCAATGTGTGGGAGTGTCCTGGACATTCCACTCCACTCTCACTGCCATTCTTATGCTGCCAAACCTCACCCATCCTTTAGGCTCGGTGTGAAGCTCACCTCCTCAGGAAGCCCTCCTTCCCTGTGTCCCCACAGGACTGCTCTCGGCCCTATTACAGCACTGATCACACAGTGTTGTTCCTGGCAGATCCTGGTGGGCTGAGGGCTTCTTGGGGGCAGTAAGAATCACCAGGGTCTTGCACTGGGTCTGGTATCTTTTAGGCTCTGAATAAATTGTAACAGTTATAAGTTTGGTAGAGTTATATGATATGCAACTCCCATCTCAGGGCATTTGCACTTATTGTTCCCTGTATCTGGAGCATTTTTCTCCCAGATATCTGCAAGTCTCTCTCAACTCCTTCAGGTCTTTGCTAAAATGTCACCTTCTCCCCCAAACTTCCCCTGATCCTCCTGTTTTAAGTGGTAACCACTCGACCACCAAGCCTTTCCCTTCTTTAATTAGTTTTTCTCCATAGCATTTAAAACCATCTGACTAATGGGTCCTGTCTTTATACAAAATTGTTATAATTAATTTATCATGGAGTTTTTACATTAATTTTAAAAATTCAGGGATTGACATACTACTATACATAAAGTGAAAGTGAAAGTGTGAGTCGTTAAGTCTGTCTGACTCTGCGACCCCACGGACTGTAGCCCACCAGTCCATGGGTTTCCCTGGTGGTTCAGATGGTAAAGAATTTGTGTGCAATGCAGGAGACTGGTTTGATCCCTGAGTTGGGAAAATCCCCTGGAGAAAGGAATGGCTACCCACTCCACTATGCTTGCCTGGAGAATTCCACGGACAGAGGAGCCTGGTGGGCTACAGTCCATGGAGGCGCAAAGAGTTGGACACTACTGAGCGACTCTATGTAAAGTAGATAACTAGTAAGGAACTACCACATAGTACAGAGAACTCAACTCAATACTCTGTAATGAACTATATGGGAAAATAACCTAACAAAGAGTGGATATATGTATGTGTATAACTGATTCCCTTTGCTGTACATCAAAACTAACACAACATTGTAAATCAACTATACACCAATAAAAATTTGAAAAATAAAATGTAATTGTATTAAAAAACCATTGGTCTTGATCCCTGAGTTCTTTGACCTCCCCTTAAAGTTCACCATATTGGAAAATTGACTAGAACGTAAGCTACACTGAATGCAGGGAACTCTGTCTATTTTGTTTACTATTCCTCGTTTCTACAAGCGGCTGGTAGCTGCTTGCTGTTGTTCACTCAGTCGTGTCTGACTCTTTGCGACCCCATGGACTGCAGCACGCCAGGCTTCCCTGTCTTTTGCCATCTTCTGGAGCTTGCTCAAACTCATGTCCACTGAGTCCGTGATGCCATCGAACCATCTCGTCCTCCTCCTGCCTTCAATCTTTCCCAGCATTAGGGTCTTTTGGTACGTGGTAGCTGCTCAAAAAATACTTCGTGGAAGTTTGACTTAGTGTCTTTAAGACTAAATAGAATGCCTTATTTCAATTCTTTAATATTTTAAATTTATTTACATTGAAAGCCTGTAAAATCTTAGGGCAGATTCGAAGCCGCATTGCCCATTGTTGTCATAGTTACACACTCCCCAGCGGTTCTCCCATTCCAACACAGAGGCGGGCCCTGGGCTCCAGCGCGGGAACACCAGACTCCAAAACCTACCAGGTCGGCCTTGATCATAGAGTTACACCTCCCTCAATCCTAGAGGGCACTTCCGGGACGGTGATTTACTTATTGCTGCCTAGGCCAATCTACGAGCGCGGTCTCTCTCCTTGGCTAAGTTTCCGGCAAACCTTTCACCGGAGTCGAGTGGGGTGGGGCCAGGCCCCGAGAGCGCGGCTTTGTGATTGGTGGGGAGGGTAAGGGGCGGGCTTGTGCCACCACGCCTCTGGCGCAGGCGCGGTGGTTTTGTGTGGCGGTGTCTGCCTGGGCGAAGTTCCCTGGGATTACGGTTGGTGAATGGGGGTAGCAGTGAGGGCTGACGGGCGGGCGGGACACTGCGGAAGAAGAGAGGGCTCGGTTCTGGGCGCGGAAACCGAGGACTCTGGTGTCAGTTTTTCCACGTGCTTCCCGTCCCTAGATTGGGACGGGGTCACAATCACATAAACTCTTGAATAATTTTCGTTTCTTAGTCTGTTTCCTCCATTGTGAAATAGCAGGATTTCCATATGTGCCTCGGGTCTTTGTGACCAGTAACTTGTGAGAAATACAAGTTTTCTGCCCACACCCCAGACCTACTGACTCAGAAACTGGCGATGAGGCCCCACCAGCCCTCCAGGTGATTCTGATGCTTGCCGAAATTTCACAGCTACTGGACCAGTGTAATGATGGGGGTCGACTTGAGAGAAGTCTTGGAGACAGACTCACTTGCTTGAGGAGTCGTCCAGGGTGAAGGAATTTCTGGCTTGAGCCACGGGCCTGAGGTGGGACTTTTAAGTGATGGTTCCAGGTGTGAACCATATGTGTCCTGCCTCCAGGGCCTGCAGTTTTCCGAGCAGGCATACTAGGGCTCTGTGGCCATGCCTCCCAGCTGTCTTCAGGTCATGGGCCACAAAGGAAATGATAATATTTGTACAGTGCCCAGGGGAAGTTGTTGAAGCTGCTGAAAGTTGGAGGGGCCCAGCTGAAGGATTGAGGCTGCTGAAAGCGGGAGGGAACCACCTGGGGTGATTTGAGCTTCCCAGAGCTGAGGGGAATTAGTAACCTGTTCTCAGCATACTGCCAGAGAGCTTTTGTTCCATGGGGTGTGCTGATGATTAGGGAAGTGCTCACTAAGCTTGGCAGTATAAATCAAGAACCTTGAAAGAGTTTATATCCTTTTGCATCTGCAAAATTGGTGGCTTTCATAGAAGTTTTATTGGAGGCCGATCTGTGCTGACTGCTTGCAGGGTATCAGATCACAGTTAACACGTATTTCTGCTCGACTCGTTTATCTTCAGGCACAAGTGCACCCCTGTGCCGGGGTGTCATGGAAGGGCTGCTGACAAGATGCAGAGCACTGCCCTCCCTGGCTACCTGCAGCCATCAACTCTCGCAGTATGCTCCTCAGAGGTTTCACCACTGTGCCCCCGGGAGAGGGAAGCGCTTGGTGCTGTCCCGCATGTTCCAGCCCCAGAAACTTCGGGAAGACCAGGTGCTCTCTCTCGAGGGCAGATCTGGTGACCTGACCTGTAAGAGCCAGCGGCTGATGCTGCAGGTGGGCCTCATCCACCCGGCAAGCCCCGGATGTTACCACCTCCTGCCTTACACTGTCCGCGCCATGGAGAAGCTGGTGCGGGTGATAGATCAGGAGATGCAGACCATCGGGGGACAGAAGGTCAACATGCCCAGCCTCAGCCCAGCAGAGCTATGGCGAGCCACCAACCGATGGGACTCAATGGGCAGGGAGCTGCTGAGACTTAGAGACAGACATGGCAAGGAATACTGCTTAGGACCAACCCATGAGGAAGCCATTACAGCCCTGGTCGCCTCCCAGAAGAGACTGTCCTACAAGCAGCTCCCGTTCCTGCTGTACCAGGTGACGAGGAAGTTTCGGGATGAGCCCAGACCCCGCTTTGGTCTTCTCCGCGGCCGAGAGTTTTACATGAAGGACATGTACACCTTCGACTCCTCCCCCGAGGCTGCCCAGCTGACCTACAGCCTGGTGTGTGATGCCTACAGCAGCCTGTTCAACAGGCTGGGGCTGCGATGCGTCAAGGTCCAGGCCGACGTGGGCAGCATCGGGGGCACAATGTCCCACGAGTTCCAGCTGCCGATGGATGTTGGAGAGGACCGACTTGTGCTGTGTCCCAGCTGCCACTTCTCTGCCAACGTGGAGACTCTGGACTCGTCACGGACCAACTGCCCTACTTGCCAGGGGCCACTGACTGAAACCAAAGGCATCGAGGTAGGGCACATGTTTTACCTGGGCACCAAGTACTCCTCTGTTTTTAATGCCCAGTTCACTAATGTCCACGGCAAGCCCTCCCTGGCTGAAATGGGGTGTTACGGCTTGGGCGTGACACGGATCTTGGCCGCTGCCATTGAAGTTCTCTCTACAGAAGACTGCGTCCGCTGGCCCGGCCTCCTGGCCCCTTACCAAGTCTGCCTCATCCCCCCCAAGAAGGGCAGTAAGGAGGAGGCGGCCGCAGAGCTCGCGGGGCATCTTTACGACCGTATCACAGAGGCGGTGCCACAGCTCCAAGGGGAGGTCCTGCTGGACGACAGGAGTCATCTGACCATTGGAAACAGACTGAAAGATGCCAACAAGCTCGGCTACCCCTTTGTAATCATCGCGGCCAAGAGGGCCCTGGACGACCCTGCACATTTTGAGGTGTGGTGCCAGAATACCGGAGAGGTGGTTTTCCTTACCAGAGAGGGAGTCCTGGAATTACTGAGCCAAGTGCAGGTTGTCTGAACCATCCCCGGGACCCCTCCCACTGCATCTCACAGCCTTGGTGTTCACTGAAACGCTGCCTTTCCTGTACTGCTTTCCGGAGCCGGTCTCCCCAGAAGCAGAGCAGCTTGTGGAAGGTGAGACCATGTTAGGAAAGCCAGTTGTAGTCATTTGTTCGGACTATTTGTATTTAAAGTTGTTAACTTGATCCCTTTGTCTGGGCTGGCCGTGCCGCCACATACCCTATCTTTCATATTCCACTGTGGAAGCTTCTGTTTGGAGGTAGTGGCTGGAAGGAGCCAAGTTGTCATCTTGGCCCTCAGGAGAGTCACTTCCCTTCTCTCAGCAGTTTCCTACACCACATGTAGGTTGGGGGCTTCCTGATGGCCGGTACCCTCCCAGCTCCAGCAGTCTGACCTTGGGCCTCTTGCTGCATTCAGTCCAGAGAGGCAGCCTGCCAGTCCTCCTCCTCTGAGAAGTGGGCTGAGGGTCTGGGGACAAGAATCAGGACACCTGGCTGCCACCGACTCACCAGTGACTTGGACATGACCCCCTCCCCTGCTGGGGCCTTCGAGTTTCCCCATCTGTGATGTGAGAAAATGGAACTAGATCTGTAAAGTCCTCACAGCTGACTGGCTGGTTCCTCGAGAGGTTCATGACAGGCAGATCTGATTCCTCTGATCCTCCATCGTTTAAACTACCCGGAAAATGAAAACAATTGGCTAATGGCCCCCAAACCACCTCCAGAGACCTGGCTCTCCCTCTTGAGTTGGCCTGGCACTGAGTTCATGTTATATTGATTGAATAAAGTCAGACTATTGGGGTGAGGTTTGCATGTTAATTGGAAACAGTGGTAACACCTGCCAAGTTAACAGTGCAGCAGCTTCTTGCCTGGAAACTCCTTTTTCTACTTCTCCACTGGATAAAAGAAAAAATTGGGTGACTGGAAAATGCGTGTTATACCGTTTCTTCCCTCAAGTGTCTGCAGGCTTCCAGTGCTACAGTGACTGCCCTGGCTGCAGAGTTGGATACTAGAGCCATGCATGATGGAGGTGAATTATTAGTAGAGGGTCACTGCCTGAATGCTGGGGAGAACTGGCAGCAAGCTTGAGCTTTCATTGCTCCTGCCCCCAGGAGCAGGATCAGCTTCTCCATCCTCGGCCCCTGCTGTCACGGCTTGTCCATATCTAAGGAGAATCTTTCAGGGCTAAGCTCAAAGCCATCACCTCCTGAAACATGCTCGGCAGCTTCTGGCAACGGTTTCTGTCTTTGGCATCCCCTGTCTCTCCTACTAGCATTGACACCTTCTCACTCGGCGCGCACAGCTCACTGTATGGCTGCTAGCCTCTTGTCATTGATGGTCAGCTCCCTGAGGCTGGGGTCCTAGGCTGACTCCTAGTGTACTGAAGTGTTGTCTTGGCCCGTTGTTCTGTCTGCCAAACAGCTTCCCAGCAGCTTGTGACCACTGATCCTGCCAGAGTAACCTCACCCCCAGCACACACCATCAGGGTTCCTAATGAATGTAGACACCAGGCCCTAATGACTCCCAGGCTACCACTGGGCTCTGGGCCAGCATTCAGGCCAGGAGACGGGATTCTGAGAGCAAACCCAGAGAGGCTGGATTGTAAGACAAGGCTCTTACTCTTGGGTGCACAATGGAATCCCCTGGGTCCCACCCCAAGGTTGTGTTCTGGGGTGTGGCTTGGGTGTCAGCAGTTATTAAAATTCCCGATGATTCTAATTCACCAACATTGTGGAACATCCTCTGAGCCCACTTTGCAGGGTTGAATGTTTGAGTCATTTCAGTTGTGCATTATCAGGTTGACGTGAGCTCTCTGCTTTCAGCACTTATATATGCTGTGTTCAGATCTTAAAACTGTGCAAGGTAAGTGCTGTGAAATCCTCATTTTACAGATGAAGAAACTGGAAGCTCCATTTAAGCAGTTTAAGAATGCACAGCTATTAATGTATCAGAGCTAGAATCTGGGTACTGACCAAAACCTGTGCCTGTCTCACTATACTGCATGGCCTCTGCCTGGACAAAATGATTGCAGTAAGTAAAATGGATTATGTATGTCTCATCAGCTTAGCCTGAAGTAGAGAAATTAGAATTACGTGCAAATGAGCACTTTAAATATTTTTTTAAATTTAAATTTGTGCTACATAAGCATACTTTATGGAAGGCTAGCCTAATGTAAGAATAAGCACTTCTAAAAATCAGCTTCAGGGAATAGAGAACTAGTTAATTTAAAACTCTCATAAATGTGTATGATATGGAATGATTTTAGGGTAAGGTAGAATCATGGAACTTTAGAACAGGAGAGCTTGCAGCCTGCTTGTCCAGCCCTCACTTCACAGATGGGAGACAAGCCTGCAGTGGGAATTAACCTGCTGCAACCCATCTGACTGGCAAAACTGCCTGATTGCAGACCAGGTGCTGCATCTCCTGAATTAGGCTACCTCGGGTAAATCTTGTTGCCGGGAGTGACGGCTGGTTGAGTCAGCATTTGAGCTACAGGGGCCTTTATGTTTGAAAGAGATACCCATTTTCCAAAGGAGCCGCATACAAGGAGCACAGTTATTTGCTCAACATCCAGCTGAACTGAAACCCAGGTGTCTTGATGACTTATCAAGTGTTTTTTGCGGTAGCCAGGGGCAGTATAATTTGGTGGAAAGATTAGGACCTTGAATAGAGAATCAGTTCTCCACTTAGCAGGTATATGATCATAGACAAATAACTCGTCTTTTGTGCATCTCAGATTCTTCATCTGTGAGATGCTTTCACAATGGCACCCACGCTTCCTTGAGTTGTCTGAGGGTTGGCTGAGCTGACTTATATGAAAAGCTTAACCCCTAGTGTGCTTTCTGGAACTATGATGACTTGCATGGGATGACTTAGGAAATAATCCATTGGGAGCTCAGGTTCTGCTGTTAACATCGAGACCTGGGTTTTGTTTTTTTGTTACGTTGCTTCACAACTTTCCTGGGGAGTGGCACGAACAAGAATTAAGTAACATCTGCAGAATGGTTCCATCTCCTTAGAGGAAAGACAGAAATATTCAAACCGTGTACATTCCTCTATCCTTTCTGAACTTGCCAACATTACTTCTTGCCATAAATTGATGAAATGGGGTTGCTGGCAAAATAACAGGTACAGGCTGTATTATCATTGCTCATTCCTTGGGGAGATGGAGAAGCAACTGGCTGGGAAATATTTAACAGAATTAATACTTGGGGACAAAGGTTGGTGTATAACAAAACCATCATGTAAATCAAGCTTAGAATGTAAATCAAGGGCCCCGTTAATATTCGGTGTTTTAATGGAAGAAACACCTGCTGGGCTATCAATAAAGGAGCTTTGTGGAAATCTTGAAATTGTCATTTCCTTAACTACTTGAGCGCCAGGCCTCTTCACAGTTTCCCCTGTCCATTTCTACTCCTAGAGGCCAGGATGCGTTTTAGAATTTGTTTGCATCTAAGGGCACACAGGACTTTGAGAATTAGGAAAAGAATTTAAGTTTTCTATAACGTGGAAATTGGGGGGGGGGGGGAAGCATTTTTATGATGTTATTGCAAAATTTTGGGAGAAGATTGAAGTATTTCACTTAATTTAAAATAATAACGTAGAGCACAGTGACCCAGACAGAGAGACTACTGTCAGACTGCCTGGGCCATTTAGCAGCTGTGGGACCTTGTGCAGGACACTTCTTGTGCCCTTTTCCTCACTGGGAGAACGGGGACAGCAGGGTCTGCTCACAGCAGGTGCTTGGGAAGTGTAGCTGCCCTTCTGGAAGGTTCTGGCGGGCAGTGTGTGTGGCCAGCACAATGGGGTGGGCACTTTCAGGCTCCGACATTCAGGCACCACCTCCATGCAGGGGTGGTGTCCACTCATATTAAGCCAGGAGCTTTCAAGGTGCTAATGAGCTTGTGATCAAAACCTTGTAGGGCTGGGAGAGTGGGGTGGAGGCACTTACCGGTTAACTGTTAAGCCCGTGGGCTGAGGGGAGTGCCATGGGCAGGACGTTGGCTGCTGATAAGGGTTTCAGCAGACTGAATTCTACCCAGGCAGACATGTCAGAGACATTGCAGGTCATACTGCCAAACTTTTACCATAACCTTAGAGTGAGCAGGCAAGGGCCTCTGGTTTGTTGCCAACCCCTGGAAGCAGGGGCCCAGTCTTGCTACTGTTGGTATCTCCTGAGGGACTGAGGGGAGTCCTGAATTCAAGTCATGACTCACTCTTTACTAGCTAGCTGGCACTGTAAGCTACTTATCCTCTCTATGCCACTTTTCTTCTCAGTAAAATGGTGCCTTGCCTCCAGAGATTGGGAAGATTGAGCCATCCACACGAAGCACCTGGAATGCTCTCTGGCACACCTAAGTGCCCAGTACATGGCAGTCATTACTAGTAAGCCTGGGAGCATGTGTGCTGCCCCCGGAATATGGCCTTGCAAGGCTCCTGCCTTAGCTTGAAATCCCTCCCACCTCACCAGTCCCTTCAGTTGAATGGCCCACATCCCCTATGTGCGGTGGCCTCCCTCCACCTCCCACCCCCGGTCTGTTCAGAATTCACCACTCCTTCCTGTGTCGTCAGTAATTGTTATACGCCTGCTGTGTGCTGAGGAGGTGCTGTGCCAGGGCCTGGCAGGGCACAATGCAGAGTTCAGCGTACTTGACTCAAGTTTCCAGAGAAGTGGGGGCAGCCATTCAGTAATCAAGTACAGGGCAGTAAGCAGAGAGGGCTCGTGGGATGTGTGGTAAGAGGCCGGTCAGCAGTGCTTCCTGGAGGAGGCAGCTGGACCTGACGGAAGGTCCTGATAGGTATTAAATAAAGGGAGGAACAGTGGGAATGGAGGGAGGGGAAGTGAGTCTTGGAACAGTGTACAAAAGCCGTAAGCTAAAACCATGGCAAGACTGGAGAATAAAATGTGTGTCATAAACTCTTGGTACGAGGCAAGCTGTGTTCCATGTGCTACACACAGATTAACTCATTGAATTCTCACAGCATCTGCACGAGGAAGGTGCTGTTATCCTCAAGTTGCATATAGGACTGGTGCCTGAGGTCACTCAGCTAGTGGGTCATGGGGCTGGAAATAGAAAGCAGATAGCCGGGCTCTAGAGCTGATACTCTCACTTCTGCACCCTCCTACCATAGCTGAACTGAGGCCAGGATGGCTAGGCTGAGGCTGGAGACGGAGGGAGCCATAGAAATGGTAAAGGGCCAGACACTGACGGGCCTTGAATGTCACACCAAGAGTGCAGCAGGGGCACAGACAGACTGTGGTTGCATTTCTCTTTATTGGAAAGTTCTCAACCCAGGGTTAGGTTTATGACACCCACTCAACAGCATGAACCTGAAGGCAGAAGCTACCTGATACCTGGCCCTTGGTTCAGTTCAGTCGCTCAACTGTGGCCAACTCTTTGTCACCCCATGGACTGCAGCACGCCAGGCCTCCCTGTCTTATCACCAGCTCCTGGAGTTTACTCAACACTCATGTCTATTGAGTCGGTGACGCAATCCAACCATCTCATCCTGTTATCCCCTTCTCCCACCTTCAGTCTTTCCCAGCATCAGGGTCTGTCAGTTCTTCGCGTCAGGTGACCAAAGTATTGGAGTTTCAGCTTCAGTCCTTCCAGTGAATATTCAGGACTGATTTCCTTTAGGATGGACTGGTTGGATCTCCTTGCAGTCCAAGGGACTCTCAAGAGTATTCTCCAGCACCCCAGTTCAAAAGCATCAATTCTTTGGTGCTCAGCTTTCTTTACAGTCCAACTCTCACATCCATACATGACTGCTGGAAAAACCACAGCCTTGACTACATGGACCTTTGTTGGTAAAGTAATGTCTCTGCTTTTTAATATGCTGTCTAAGTTGGTTGCCCTTGGTTGGTGCCCATTAAATGTTGGTAAAGCCAACAGAAGGAAAGGAACCTGAGAGAGGAGGCAGGTAGGCTCTGGAGTGAGATGCTTGGGTTCAGATCCCAGGTCTGATACTCCCTGGTGAGACTGTGTGCCTCCATCTTACTTATAAAATTGGGATCCTATAACTGAGAACGTGGCTTAGGATGAGGGTTTGCACAGTGCTTGCTCTCCATGACAGCCATTTATCGTCTCTCTGCCTGCCCTTGTGCACCTCCAGAAGTGTTTGATCACGGTGTGGCCTTAAGCCAAGTGTTTCATCATGGTGTGTCCCCGACCAAGTTCTCCAGCTGACACCCTAAATCCACGGAGATAACCAGACAGGTTGGGGAGGCCCACCTCGATCCCTGACCCTTTGCCCTGAGAAGGGCTGCACTCTAGTCTTGTGGGAAGAAGGGTCCCTGGGATGGTGGGAAAGGCTCTGCCTCAAGTTGGGGATGCCAAAGATGCTGGCTCCTCAGCCTCGCCCTGGTCCTTCCTCTAAGCCTAAGTTTCCTCATCGTAAGGTGAGGTGGAGGAGGGTTAAGTCCTGTGGGGAGCTCTGATTCAGCTCTGCTGGAATCCCAGGCATGGGCAAGTGGCCAAGAGGGCACCAGGCGAGGGCACAGCCCACAGGCCCCACCACACCCATTCACTTCACAAGAGGGCCACCTGTCCCGAAGCCTGCAGGCCCCGCCCCCCTGGAAGCCCCACGCTCCTGTGCTCACCCTGGCTGCCCATCACCATAGCCACTGCAGTGGAGCAAGGCTGGGCCAGGCCTTGTTGTCTGGAAGGGCACAGAATCTAGCTGGGAAATGAGAGGATGGCCTGTGTGGCCTACGCCAGGCTCAGGATGGAAGCGGGACTTCGGCTCTACAGCCACAAGCCACAGCAGGGACCTGCACCTGGAAGGAAGCTGCCGGGTTCTTGGTAAGCATTCCACAGCGAACTGCCCTTCACAGACGGCAGCACGCACAGCAGAAAACCCTAAGTTAGTCGATCTTAAGTAGAGCAGCTGGTGTCAGTTTAATGATGCATTAGTTAGCTTTGCTATAGTAACAAACAACTCCCAAATCTCAGCACTTATTATTAATACAACAAATATTTATTTCTCATTCATGTCACAGTCAATGGCTGCAGGCCAGCTGCTTCAGCTCTGCTCCACGTGTTTTAGCATCCAGCTGAAGGAACAGCCCCACCCTGGGAAATACATTCCCAGGCAGAGGGAAAAGAGCATGAGCCCACCACGCCATGTTCTGCAAGCTCTGCCTCGACATGTCCACTCACATCCCTCTGCATCAGGAGAAGGAACGAACCCTCCTCACTTTTCCTCTAGAAAGGAGGAGGAAAAGAGTGGTAGACAAAAATACAACAGATGACGGTGACTCAATGTGCAAAAAGATTTTCCAGCTTAAAAGGCATAAAATTCTAAACAAATGTGAAAACTGATATACTGTCTAAGTATGTTACAGGTCTCCATATTGCAAAGATCAGGAAATATGGCAAACTTTTTAGGGGTTCTAGAGGACCCTCAATGTGCAGATCTTTATAAAAGATGGAGAAATAGGACCTGGCTTCCCAGCCCCATCTCACCCCGAGGCACCTACAGGATCCCAACAGAGCAGGCCTCTGTGCTCATGACGGACGGACCTCTTAGCATTAACACCTTACAATCACATACATGGTTGTGTGTGTGTGCAGTGTGAGGCACACAGCTGCAGAACCACATCACTGGATCATGAGTCTTCAGGTCAGAGCTGGAGGCTGGTGGTTAACACAACTCAAGAGTGAGTCCAAGGATGTCATAAGCAAGGCACAGAGTTCAGTAGCAAGAGAGGAAAGTGAAGCCCTGCTAGAGCTCAGCGGTCTGTCCCGAGAGGCTGAAGTTCAAGAAGGCAGCAGCTCCCCCGCAACCATGATGCAGGGAAGGCCTGTCCCTGGGGTGGCAGGAATAAAGTGCTGGGTTCAAGGAGTAGATCTTGTTGATTCAGGAGTGCTGGACTCCAGGCTGAGGTGGGGGAGGGAGGAGGTCCAGGGAGCCTGGCTCCCACAGCGTGGCCCAGTCACTTTACCTGGTGTACCTTTTTCCCCCGGAGATAATTCCTACAAAAACCAGAGGATCCTACACAAACCAAAAATGTTGGTATCAGGGCTTTTACAAAGTACCTGCAGTGAACACAACAAAAGAGAGGGATAATTGAATTACAATCTTAATCATCCATGGACTTTCCCAACAATAGTCAAGGTGAACCTTTAGATGTGAGCCAACATTAAAAAGCAAGTTTAGCACATTTATTTGCTTGGTTGTTTATAAGTCTGCAAATTAGCATGACCCCCTCCCCATTAGAACCTAGCCAGAACCTTTGGGCCAGTTCTCTTGGCCCTCTAGCATCATGTATGTTTATGGCTAAACATGAAATAAAGTAAGAACATGCTTTCATTCCTTCATTCAACAGTACGCACCCAGGGTAAGCCAGGTCTTGTGCTGAAAAAAACAGATTAAACAACAAACAAAAGCCACCATCACTGTCTGGAGGGAGGGAGATAATGACGATGGCGGGGCACAACTGCAGAAGCATTTCTGAGGTACAGTGTTAGCCCAAAGAGACATAATTCCTGTACGGGAAAGGGAAATCAGGAAATGTTTCTAGGAGCTGTCACGTCTCAGCTTACATTAACTGGAAAAGGGGTCCTGATGGGCATGGGGGAGCAAAAGCCAGGAGGTGCAGGTCACTGGAGCTTTTGCTGTTGCTGGGCATAAAGCAAATGGAGCAGGCATGCCAGACAGCAGGCAAGGCCTTGGGCTCTCAGGTCCAGGGGTTTCTGCACCACCCTGTGGGCTTGGATCTGGGCAGAGGAGCCTGTATCATGGCCCAGCACCCAGTTCAGAGTTTGAAGTTGCTGGTCTGAAGTTACTCTGTGCTGGGTAGTCTCTTGTCTATTCTAATCATTTAAAAAATAATGACTTCCAATGTATTTATACTTTCTCAGAAGCAAGAAATTGGTTTTCCTCCATCAATCAGTCTGCTTTAAATTTAAGATTTCTCCACATTTTCTGGGAGATAAGGTAGAGTAGACCTCAGGCCTTTAAAGAATTCTGGATAATTTGCTAACAATTGAGAAAATGAAGAGCTAAAAATCTGTCTATAATCTAGAAGGGTAACTTAGGGCTAGAAAAAAAAAAATGCTGCCAAGAGAAGTCATCAATCATATCTGAAGAAATCCTCACCTCCTGCCTGCCAGGCCAAAGCAGGAGCATCAAGACCAGCTAGACATTCTCACTGAGTCAGTCAACACATCACCAACTCCCATCCCAAACACCTCCTAAACATCAATCCACCCCTACTTCACGTCTCACCACTGAACAGTACACTTAAGATCTGTACACTAACTGGTACATTTTACCTAAACGCCCCTGGGACTCCACACACCATCGTCAGGATTCATGTTCCCTAGAGCACTCAAGGCTGCCGCACACAGTCCTAACACGGTCCTCCAGCCTCATTTCCAACCCAACCACCATTTTCAAACCCAACCACCCGTAACTTAGCACACTGGACTCTGCCTAAATCCAAAACATTTGCTTTGCTCAAGGCTCAGGGAAAAGTGGCCCAAGGGTCAACTATAAAGCTATTGAGGGCATAACCTTATAGTCCAGGAGCCCCCAAAGCTAAGAGACAACTGCCAAATCCAACTGGCTCCCAATGCAGCTAACCAAGGTGCCTCTCACAGTGCATCAGGGCACTGACTCCTATTCTCTCTCCTACCTGAGAAATATGTAGTCAAGAGTTATTATCCTCATTTTAGAGATGAGCCAGTATGGGCTCAGAGGCACACAGCCACTAAATGATGGTGTCTGACTTCAAGTGCCAATGCTCTTTCCATACGACAACATCAAGGGACACAGGCACAATCAGGAACAGGAGGGCCATCCCAGCTGTCTTTGGTACAAAAGCCAGACAGCAGTTTCTGTTTCAACCAGCCCCACTCACTTCCCCCTGAGGATGTCAAGGCTGTGGTGCAATGGGCTGAGTCAGCACACTGCAACCTGTTTGGCCAAAAGCCTGGGCCAGTCTCCGTGGGTTGCTGTCTCACAATTTTGCATCCGGGGCAGAAGGGAGGGGAGTACAAGGCCAGTGCTCAGCAGTGAAACGAGAACCCGGCTGTGTCCTGGGATGGTGCCTGAGCACTGTTCCTGGTCTACTCAGCCCCACGAAGGTGACTTACCTGGGGTGCTGTAGCACCTGCAGCAGGGTGCTACTGGGAGGCACGCAGTAGAGTTCTGCCCTGTCCTCATCCTCAAAGTAGACCTGTAGGATGAACAGAGGAGCAGAAGTCAGACACCAGTAAAGGGCTTCAGCGACACCAGGCATGCTGAGGCCAAATCTGGGGAAATGTGTAACAGATGGCAACTGCGGAGACTCAAATCCAGGCCTGTGAGCCTTCTTTCCCTAACACTTCAGTTGCAGAGCCATTCGGTATGGGGAAAGAAAGCAGCAGTGGCCCAGAGCAGAGGAAGAGATGTCCACACGGGAGACAGCCCTGTGCAGGTGTCAAAGCCCGGCCAGCGGAGATGTGCGTTCTCACTGGGGACTGGCCAGCCAAGCCGGGTGAGAAGGGCAGCCACTCATGGCAGGGGGAGGCCTGCTGAGGGGAATGAGGACCCACGCTGGATAAGAAAGACATTCATGCAGGATGTTGAGCAGTGCAGGGCAACAGCATATGTAGGATGAGGAGGGCACCATCCTGGGGCAGCAGGCTGACGTGGGGAGTTAGTCCAAGTGAGGTGGGGAAGGTTCCCCATGGGAGAGGGGATACTGGTGCTGACAGGAGGAGAATTAAATACAGGGAGACCGATCAAACAAATATATTAATAATAACAGAAGCCACTGTAAAAATAGAGAAAGGGCTGTATTGGATTAGAATTGGAGATACCAGTGACAGCTCATGTTTTTACACACACACACACACGCACGCCAATGAAGCAGTGAGCATCCTCCTCCCCTCACCCCTGTACTTATGAGTATAGCTACAACACAGATCTTGACTTCTAAATACTATTTTCTGCTAAAAAGAACCAAAGTTCCTTCGGAAAAATGGCTGATTCTAGAGCTAAGGCCAAAAAAAGCACAATTTGAGCCTTAAATGCCTTGTAACACAAAGCAAAGAAGTGCTTTAAAAATGGAGACAAGTCTGAAGGACACAGAAGCAAATTTGAAGGAACTCCCACTGACCAAATCCGAGACACCTTGAGCATAATATAACCACAGTAATAGATTATAATTCAATTAATAAAATAAACCATAAGCCCACTGACATAAACGATGGTTTGACGAACAAGAAGATATCTGTATCATTTCCAAGTACCTCCCTTTATAATACTAACTACAAAGGGGAAAAGAGTAACTTCATGCAGTACAGAAGCTTGTATAGCCCTACCTCCGTCAAGTGATGAAAGTGAACATCATCAGTAACGGGACCTTTGAAATTATGACGCCTGACAGGATGCAACAAGAAGATAGCACTGCTTCTGTGATATTCCAGTCAGATATACATAATCTAGGTCACAAAGACACACAAGACAAACCCACTTTCCACAAAATAACTGGTCCGTAACCGGCAAAAGTGGTAAGATCAAGAAAGCTGACACAAGACTGTGAAAATCTTCTGTAGCTCAAAGGAGACTAAAGAGACATAAGCACTAGATACAATACTACGTGGGATTCCTTCTGCCATAAAGAACATTACTGGTGATTGGTGGAGGGGAGCTGACTCCCCTCCACAGGAAGGTATGGAGCTGACTCACACACACACACATCAAAAATCCATCTACATGCAGAACAATTCCCACAGAAAACTAACTAGAAACTGGCAGGTCTCCTATACAAGCAAACCTGCAAGAAAGATCTCCACATAATCAGGTAGGACAGGGAAAAAAATAAAGCATAAGGCTGGGAATCGCACCCCTGGAAGGGATCTGTAATGAAGAGAAGTCCACATGGAAGGACCCTCACCCTGAGGAGCCTGCGTGCCAGCTGGGAAATCCACTGACACAGACTGTACAAGTAAGCACATGTGCTGGCCTGCTGACAATCAGGACCGAGAGAGACCTGCACTGGAGGCTGCCACCTCGATACTCACTTCCCAATCCAAAGGACCAATGCCCCAGCCCCACTCACCCCACACCACAGCCTGGTGTGAGACTAGGGCAGAGGTTCAGTCTAGCTGTGCAGACAGACTAGAATGATGTGGTCTGAGTAGAACCACGGAGACCACTGTCAGTGTACACACCAGGGTGGTGGGTCAAACTGGGCAGACATGTCAGCATGTGCACCAGGCATCACAAGGGCATACAGCAGCTAAGCACTGAATCTCAGGAAGACAGGCCCTGGGAGAGGACTTGATCTAGTTACACAGAGATAGGCTGAGAGCCTGGGATATGATCTGGGGGAGATGCAGAACCCACTGTCAGCACCCAAACAGCAGGGGCGAGTCGAGCTACAGCAGACACTGCCAGCACATGCACTTGGCAGTGCTGCAAGAACACGCAGCGGCTAGGTGGTCAGGACCTGCACAGTTATCTGCAGGGCTGGTTTCCCAAGGGAAGCAGCCTCCTTCTGCCCACTCCACACAGCAGCTTACCGTCAGATCTAGAGCAGACAGGTCCCCGGAGAGGTCTACCACAGAGGCAGCCCAGGTCCCAGGTGGGCTCAATTCCCACAGCCACAGCCACCTCAATTCCTGCAGCCACAATGCTCTGACCCCCAACTCCAGCTTATTCCACACCACAGCCCTGCACTAGACCTGGGACAATCACAACAGAGAAAAGGATGCGACCTTGGGCTGCTTCTGAGGGGAACCCTGGTGGCGCTCAAGTTCACCGAGACTGCATGGACTTCACTTGCTTCAGCAACCACCTTCTTTGGGGCAGGGCACACACTCAAGGGCAACGAAGCCTGATCCATCCTGACCCTCGTGGCTTCCACCCCAACAACAGGGGAGCAGACCGTGCCTGGTGAGCCATGGAGCAGAGAGGAGGCCCCATCGCACATCCAAGGCAGGCTCTGGACACACCACACCACCAACCACTGCCCCATCAAGGGGATGACCGCACACTCAAGAAAGATGTGGAAGATGGCGGAGGAATAGGACGGGGAGACCACTTTCTCCCCTACAAATTCATCAAAAGAACAATTGAACGCTGAGCAAATTTCACAAAACAACTTCTGATCGCTAGCAGAGGACATCAGGCGCCCAGAAAAGCAACCCATTGTCTTCGAAGGGAGGTAGGACAAAATATAAAAGATAAAAAGAGAGACAAAAGAGCTAGGGACGGAGACCCGTTCCGGGAAGGGAGTCTTAATAGAGGAAGTTTCCAATCACCAGGAAACCCTCGCACTAGCAGGTCTGGGGGAAGTTTTCGAATCTCGGAGGGCAACCTAACTGGGAGGAAAAATTAAATAAGGCCCACAGATTACGTGCCTAAAAGCAACTCCCAGCAGAAAAGTACCCCAGAGCCCACACCCGCCACCAACAATGGGGGGCGGAACGGAGAGGAGCGGGGGCATTGCTTAGGGTAAGGACCGGGCCCAAAGGCCCTGAGAGCAATAGGAGGGAGCTCTTTCAAACTGTGGGATAGCAAAGGAGAAAATTAACCGGCCTGAACACACGCCGGCCGTTCGCAAAACAAAGGGACTGAGAAACTCCAGAGAAGAGCCGGTCCATCCCCGCTGGAGGTAGGAGGCAGGAGGGAGGGGAAAGGGGCAAACTCAGCCGCAGAGAAGCCACCCCCTCCCACACTGCAAACAGGCCCCCGGTTTCTATCTAAAGACTTCCTGAGATTATGGATGGTCGACACCCGCCTCCGGGAGGGTCGCGGCTAGAGGCCAGCTCCTGAGAACAAACACAAGCCGCTGGCACGCCACCAGCGCGCGCTGGGGCTTCGGAGGGAAAAGGCGCGCCGCACCCAGGAAAAGTGCGTCCAAGCCTCTGGCTGCCTAAGCCGCTTAGGCCGGGGAAGGCACAAAACGCAGGTGCAACCGAATCCACGCTTTTGTGGAGTACCCGAAAACTGGAACCGCACTCAACGCAGGGCCCGCTCCATATAGAGCAGCCAGGAGCCTGAGCAGTGTAGACGGGGAAAGCACAGACACCCGTGAGCGGGGCAAACCCAGTGTGGCCGGAACACGGTGAGTGCTATCCACACACACAACAGCGATATCTGTGTGCAGCGCCCTGCCCTCCCCGTAGCAGGACTGAACTGAACTAGCGAACCTAAATAAGAGATCGCCTAAATAAGAGATCGCCTCCGCCCGCCTGTGTCAGGGCGGAAATTAGACACGAAGAGACGGCAAACAAAAGCCAAATAAACAAAGGGAACCGCTTCAGAAAGGACTGGTGCAACAGATTAAAATCCCTGAAGGTAACACCGACTACACCGGAAGGGGCCTACAGATATCGAGAAGTGTAAGCTGGAAAGAGGAACTATCTGAAATTGAACTGAACCTACACTGACCGCAATAGCTCCAGAGAAATTCCTAGATATATATATGTATATATTTTTTTAATTAAAAAAAAAATTTTTTTTTCTTTCCTTTTTTAAAATTTTTTCTCTTTTATTTTCTTTTAAAATTCCCTATTACTCCCCCATTACTCCTCAACTTTCATTTTCATATATTTTTATGATTTTTTTAATTAGGGAAAAAAAATTTTTTTTTCTTTTTCTGGTTTTTCTCTCCTATTTCCTTTTAAAGTCCTCTAATACTCCTCTATTATTTCTTAATTTTCATTTCACTATAACCTTGCAAAAAAAAAAAAGAGAGAGAAGCCCTATTTTTAAACCAAACTTCATATATATTTCTAAATTTTTTGTGTTTTTGTTTTTGTTTTTAAATATTGTATTTCAAAGAGTCTAACCTCTATGCTAGATTTTTAATCTTTGTTTTTCAGTATGTGATATAAATTTTATACATTTAAGAATCCAATATTCAGTTCCCATTTTTATTCAGGAGTGTGTTGATTACTCTCTCCCACCTTTGACTCTCAGTTTTCTACCTCAGAACACCTCTATTTCCTCCTTTCCCCTTCTCTTCCCAATCCAATTCTATGAATCTTTGTGGGTGTCTGGGCTACGGAGAACACTTTGGGAACAGAGAACTGTGCAGATCTATCTCTCTCCTCTTGTGTCCCCCTTTTTCTCCTCCTGCTCACCTCTATCTCCTTCCTCCCTCTCCTATTCTTCATGTAACTCTGCGAACCTCTCTGGTTGTCCCTCACGGTGGAGAATCTTTTCACCATTAAAATAGAAGTT